AGCAAGGTTGGGTTACCGCTATTGTCATTCTTTAATTCGTGGATTTTAATCCCATTCCTCTCGATAATTTGTACAATTGATCTCGATTAAGGCCTTTCGTTAACGGATCTGCTAAGGTTTCCTTAGACTTAACATAATCTATGGTTATTATACCATTTGAGATCAATTGTCTAATGGTATTATGTCTACGACGAGTGGTGGCCAGTTCGGCACCGTTTGTAAGGGTAGGTAGTCACAGGTTCCCCACGTTAACAAAAAAAAAAATAACGGCTTTGGTTTTAAATCATTCGTATTACTATGCCAACACGTACATTTGGAGGTAGTTGGTTTAAATAAATTATAATACTCCTTAATAATGTCCGACTCTCTGAAAATAAAAAGTCACCCACTCATCTCCGTTACTTTGGTCTCTATAATTTATTCCTCGAAAACAGAATGAATATTAATTAAAAATCTTAAATTTTTTACGAACAGGCGGAAGCCACATGTTAGGATCATTTCAACGAGGCCTTTGCCGATGCGTGTGACATTTTAGTTTCCATTCTTTTTGTGTATATATATGAATATAAATGTCATATATTTATGTGTACATAATGCTGGTGTGAAAGCAGGACAAATTAAGCGAGGCGGTGGAAGAGGCGAGTAGGAAAATAGAGGAGATGCGATTAGAGGGTAAAGAGGAGGTAGGAAAAGCTTAGGAAACCAAAGATTCCACTGCATAAAGGTAAAGAAATTGAATGTATATACTATACATATATGACTGTAGTAGTCTAATGATACATGTTAGAATTCATATAAAAGGTATAAAAGGAGGAGATGTGAGAAACAAAAAACTCTGTCTTCGCCGATACGATGCTCCGGCGATTCCGTCGCCGGCAAAAGGAGGAAGAAGAAGTGGTAATTCCTCGAGCTTGTCCGATCTGGACGGCAAGAATCAACAAGCTTTTTTTTGTCATGAATCAGCAAGGTAACTTACACAAGAATTACACTGATGCAAGAATCAGGTAGAGAAATGGCAACTTGAATTCTTGTGCATTCTCATTTCTGTATGTGTGGAGGAGGATTAACAGTGCAGAAATAGGTAGCTGATCAGAAAACCTTCTTTCACTTTGAGAGTAAGATAGCTGTTTTCGTAGCAACGACGTTCCGGAAATTTGATGGGTTTTGTATTATGATAAGGCTGAAGAATAGCAAACTAGCTTGGACAACTAAGTTCCTAGTTCCTACTATTTTTTCACTCTGCATTGGCTCTAAAAATTAGTAGACATTAATCCTAGGCCAAAACCGATAAATGAGGAATATTAATAATTGATTTTGATCTAAACCGTTTCCTCTAATCCCACATAATTGTCAACTGAACTAAATTACACCTAAGAAAATATATAGTGATGGCATTTGAACCACTGTAGTGAAGACAAGAATGAGGAACACCTAAGAAAATATATAGTGATGGCATTTGGAAATCTCTATATGGCCTTCGTCAAGCACCACGTTGTTGGTTCGAAAAGTTAAGCTCGGCCTTGGAGACATATAGCTTCCGTCAGTCCCAATCCGATCACTCGTTGTTCACTTTTCACGACGGCCACATTCATCTGAACGTCCTTGTTTACATCGATGATTTGATTATCTCCGACAACTCTACCGTTGCTCTAGACACATTCAAGCGGTACTTGAGTTCTTGCTTCCACATGAAAGATCTCGTTCGTTTAAAATACTTCCTAGCTCTCGAGGTTGCTCGCAATGCTTCCGGTATCTACGTTTGCCAACGCAAGTATGCCCTTGATATCGTCTCTGAGGTAGGGTTACTCGGATGCAAGCCGTTACAGTTCCCTTTGGATCAAAATCACCGTCTTTCTCTCTCGGATAGCTCCTTCATTGCCGATCCTGGCCGATACCGTCGATTGGTCGGGCGTCTCATTTATCTCACTGTCACTCGACCCGAACTCTCGTATTCGGTTCATATATTATCGCAGTTCATGCAACAACCTCGACAAGACCATTGGGATGCTGCCTTACACGTTGTTCGCTACTTGAAACACGATCCCGGTCAAGGCATTTTGTTTCGCTCCGATTATGACCTACAGTTACGAGGTTGGTGTGATGCAGATTACGCGGGCTGTCCTCTTACACGAAAGTCCTTGAGTGGGTGGTTTATTCAGTTGGGTTCATCATCTGTCTCATGGAAGACGAAGAAACAAACCGTACCCTCCCTTTCGTCTGCTGAGTCGGAAAATCGAGCCATGCGGTTCGCTGCATGTGAATTGTTGTGGACCAAGAATCTTCTTTCTTCATTCGGCGTCAACCATTCGACACCTATGATGTTGTTCTGTGATAGTCAAGCTGTTTTGCATATTGCATCCAATGACGTTTTTCACGAACGGACAAAATACATTGAAGTGGATTGTCACTACTTTCGACATCATCTTGACCACGGAAACATCATCACTCAACATGTTTTGACTCGGGAGCAATTGGCCGATATTTTCACTAAAGCCTTAGACAAGAAGGAATTCGCTAGGTTCATCGACAAGTTGGAATTGCTTAGTTTGCACTCACTAACTTGAGGGGGTGTTCGACGAGAATATCCTCGTCATATATTTAAGTTTATATCGTTAACATATATTGTAAGTACGTGTTTATCTTCTCCTAGATTTGCTAGGGTTTTGCTGTTTCTATTCGTGTACATATACATGGCATTGGCCGACGTGAATACACAAGCTTTTCCCACAGATCTCGATCACCATAATGACAAACTGAGAAAATGGGTCTCCGAAACCAACAAGGAAAAAACTAGAACCAGCTTACCCGGATCGCATTGAGAGTAGAACTCATCCACATCTGATGAAATAGCAAAGGAAAACACCGTGAGAGAGAGGGGGAAAAGCCAAAGGAGTGCGCACTCAGAAGAAATATGGGAATTTCAAGTAAAGGGCTCTCACGTACCTGTGGTGAGAGTAGTGAAATCCTTGAAGATCTCTTCGACGGTGCCGGGGTTTGAGGAAACAACGGCCATAGCTGTACAGGAAGAAGATATACGACCTTATATACGGTATATCCACGAACGAAAATGCGTAGATCAGTGCAGGTGGAGACGGATCGAGGTCCGCATAGGTGGTTTTAGATACCCATGAAGAGAGAGAGACGGAGAGGGAATAGGGAAAACTTCAAGAATACCCCTCGGTTGTCGCACCGTTATCATTGGGGGATTATCCAAAATACCCCAAATGTGCTAAAACTACTTCTAGACCTACCCTCCACTTTTTTAAAAAAAATTCCAACTTCTAAAATACCCTTCTAAATGCATATTTCCCATTTTACCCTTTAATATTTTAATTAATATAATTTTTTTTATCATTTTCTCTTTCCTCACCGATTTCTCTCTCTTCATTAATGTTTTTTATTTATTATTTTTCATATTTTCTCTCTCCTCATTTTATTTTTATTTTTTCTGATTCTCTCTATTCTCGACACGTGTAATATTGTGACCATGTGACCTTGTGACCATATAACCATGTGACCCATATGATCTTATGATCCATATCACCTCATGATCGGTATGCTCATGCGAACTATATCTTTGTAATCTGAGACATATAGTACCAAATATCATAAATAATTAGACGTATCATATATGCGATATAATCACCGTTAATCTCTATCTTCAATAATGTCTTTGAATTTTAATATCATCAAATATGATTTTATTGTAATTTTATACTATGTGACCATTGTTGTCAATTATGACCTATGACTCAATCACCAAAGAAATATAAGTATAAATATGGTTTTTAAGTATAAATATGGTTTATACGTTGTTATATAGTAAATATAACGTGTTTATAAAAAAAATTATGATATTATAAGTGATTTATACTAATAAAATAAGACCAAATTTATCTATATACGACTTGTATTATGCATTGTGACCCACGTGTGACCAATGTGACACGAGTGAAATTTTTAATTATGTGACATTATGATCGGATATTCCCGTGACCAAGTGACAAAGATAAATATAGGTCAAAACTTATTTTTTAAGTTTTGTTATAGTTTAGGAGAGAACATCAAAATCGACAATGACTAATTTAGAGTCAAGAAAGAAGCACCACAAATTTGTATAATAATTGTGTGGTGTATTTGTATTATAATGTATTACAAAACATTTGTACAATAATGTCAAAGAGTTTTGATTAATGATGTTGTAATATATTTGTACAATATAGTATTATAACTTTTATATAATATTGTGTTTGTACCATAATAATATTGTATTATTGAAGATGAATTTTCACATATATTTGACTTTATTACACACTAAATAAATAAACTCACATAAGCCAACGTTGTGACCCATTGTGACCGGCATGTGACCATGTGACCGAAGTGCAATTTTACACTGTGTGACCATTGTGACCGATTGTGACCCGTGACCGAAATGTGTTGATAAATATAGGTCAAATTTTAATTTTTAAACTTCGTGGTGGTTTATGATAGTCTATATATCAAATATATAACGTATGAGAAAAGTTTCAAAATAATTTAAGGGGTTTATAGATGAAATATACCAATTTTATCAAAAGTACTCATAAAACATTATGAAATATATAGAAATACATTTGGAAGAATAACATTGAAACACACAAATCGTAAAAACCATATTTTAGTTTTTGAAATAATATAGAATAGATTTATGAGGGATATGTAACATTATAGAGTGATTAAATTAACAAAAATCGCATGAATCGAAGGTTGTGACCGGTTGTGACCGACTGTGATCCATTGTGATCGAAATATGTTGTGGGGTCCACACAGAGAACTAGTCAGAATTTCACCAGCTTTTCATGTTTTGTGGGGCCCACAATCATTATTTATATTTTGCTTTTAATGTGGGGCCCAATTTGAATATTCAACTCTATATAATTTCTCTCTTAACCCTATATTTTTTTCCTCTCAATTTTTAACCTCAAATTTTCACCTACAACATTTTCAAACCAAAATGTTGTGTATGAGGAAATTACAAAACATTGTGAGATGTTTATAAAACAAAGACACCAAATTTGTTCAAAATACTCATAAAACACTATAAAACATAATGGAAAGCATTTATAATGATTACTTTGAAAAACAAAATCGCATAAATAATATTTTAATGTTAAAAATAGTACAAAAGTAGACATATGAGAAATAAATTAAAAGTTTACGCTTTTGTCTTCGGAAATCTTTGTTGTTATGTCTCCTAATTCTAGTCATGCGTTGATCAACTCTATGAACATGGTATCACACGCAAAGTAGTTGCATCCTATATAGATCATGTGATACTTTATAATGCGAGTATGAAGTTCATACATCGTCTCTTCCATGTGCTACAAAATAAAATAATATATGTCAGGAATATTACACAGATATCATCATGTGACATTATGATCGTGTAACTATAACACTATGTGATGTGACCATATAATCGTGTGACCATGTGATCATGTGACCGTGTGACTGTGTGACTATGTCATCCATACATTCAAACATCGACCCATATGATATTGTGACATATATGACTATTCTAAATGATCTTGTGACCGAAACTTATCTATTCCACTCAATTTTAATCATAAACCCTCAAACCCAATATTCTATTTCGAAATCCCAAAAGTTTTAAAAAAATTAAAATCTTAATGCTTTATCGGTCAAATCTCAAAATCACATTTCAACTCAATAGCAAGAAATCTCACTGTGTGATCTTATAACCTTATACCCTTGTGACATGTGACCTTGTAACCTATGTGATCTTGTGACTGTGTGATCTTGTGACCATGTGATCTTGTGACCCGTGTGTTCTTGTGACCACGTGACCTTATAAATTATTCGATTTACTATTGTATTCATATTATTTTTACTTATAAGGAAGTACCAAATAAATGTGAACATTTCGAATTTTAATCATGTATTTATTTTATTTAGTTTAGAAATAGTTTATTAAATTATATAAAATTATATCAAATTAAAGTTTATAAAAAATAAAAATAATGGGTGAGAAATATCTAGCAAATTGGATTCTCTATAATATAAAATGACTGAACAAGAATTAGTTATCATATAAAGATAAATAG